GGGTGTTAAGACTATTAAGGGATACAGTATGGGAATTAAGAATGTCAGGGGATACAGTGTGGGTGCTAAGGCTGTCAAGGGATACAGTGTAAGAGTTAAGAATGTCAGGGGACACAGTGTGGGTATTAAGACTATTAAGGGATACAGTATGGGAATTAAGAATGTCAGGGGATACAGTGTGGGTGCTAAGGCTGTCAAGGGATACAGTGTAAGAGTTAAGAATGTCAGGGGACACAGTGTGGTTATTAAGACTATGAAGGGATACAGTATGGGAATTGAGAATGTCAGGGGATACAGTGTGGGTGCTAAGACTGTCAAGGGACACAGTGTGAGTGCTAAGACTGTCAAGGGACACAGTGTGAGTGTTAAGACTGTCAAGGGACACAGTGTAAGAGTTAAGAATGTCAGGGGACACATTGTGGGTGTTAAGACTATTAAGGGATACAGTATGGGAATTAAGATTGTCAAGGGACACAGTGTGAATGTTAAGACTGTCAAGGGACACAGTGTGAATGTTAAGACTGTCAAAGGACACTGTGAATGTTAAGACTGTCAAGGGACACAGTGTGAATGTTAAGACTATTAAGAGATACAGTGTGGTTGTTAAGTCTGTTAAGAGATACAGCATGAATGTTAAGTATACTGTGTGATGGTAAGTTTGTTAAGTATGTAATGAAGACTTTATTCAAAAATATGTTTAATTATCAGCTTTTTTTACTAAGTCGAATTAAGAATCACGAGATTTATTTTGGTGATCTCAGAAATCAAAATCCATTGGATCCTCGTGCACCCGACATGATGCAGTTTAAATCAGTGTCAGAGTGGTTGAACAGCCTGAAGATGGGTCGATATCTGGAGAACTTTGATCATGCTGGTGTAAGTACAATGGAAGCAGCAGCAGGATTAACTCGTAAGAACTTGACCACTCTGGGTGTGACCTTAGCTGGACACCAGAAGAAACTACTCAACAGTGTGCAGATGCTCAGGGCTCAGATGTCGGATGGATTCCTTGTCTAGTGACCATGTGACGACTGTGTTGTGTACAGTGTATATTTAATGGTGTTGTGACCTTGATGTCAAATCCAACATATCACAGACTCAAGGGCTCTAAACGACAGCCACTCCACTACAGTAAGACTTAGCTGAATCATGGGTGCTACCTTATGGAAAGGTTTTTATTCGATGAGACAGTCGTCTCAGAAGTGTATGCAACCTAACTGAATAGTGTGTACTTAGATAATATGCAAAAAATGTTCATCCTTTCAATATATCATTGTCCTGGCAAGTGTTGTGAACTTGGTAGAAAAGAATGTTTCACATCAGATCAAAAGAATGTTTCAAAACCAGATCAGAAGAATGTTTCACACCAGATCAGAAGAATGTTTCACACCAGATCAGAAGAATGTTTCAAAACCAGATCAGAAGAATGTTTCAAAACCAGATCAGAAGAAT